TCAGTAGGCATTGGTTTAAAATAAAGAATTTTCTTTAAAATTCCAAACAAAAAGAGAACTGTAAAAATATTTTTATTATTCATATAATTAACTATTTTTTATGGAAGCCCATTGGTCTAGGTTTGACTAAAGATTAATTTTTTTACATTATCAGGTCCATGTTTTGAGTTTGTGAGAAGGAAAATTATCAGTTTACTGGACACAATGTTTATAAGATAATTTTAGCATTGTACAAAAAATATGTATGGTGTGAGTCCTATGTAAAACTTATGGGGATGTAGACGTGAATTCTTATAAAATGCGTACAATTGTTGACTGTAGAACGCTTATGTAATTTCTTTCACAATTTGTATTAATATAATTAACCACTGTTTACAAAACTATAATTGTTTTATATCATCGATACACATTGATATTTATCTATAAGGTTTAAAACTAATATATAGTTACAAATAAATAAATATATCGATATATACTGATCTATTATTAAAGTTTAAAACTAATCAATTTTCTTCAGTTACAAAATGAAGTAATAGTCGATGATGGAAATTATTATGATTTAAATTTTTTTAGTTTAAGTGTATTTTTAAGAAGGAAAATTGTAAGAAAAAAATAAATTCGTTTAGATTAAGTATTTAAGTAAAAAAAAAGGAAAATTATGATTTAACATATGTCATAATCTTAGATATGTAATTGCCACATGTGACAATCATGTTAAAATAAAATTCTTTTTAATGATTGTTTCTTTTTCATGTCTATTAAAACATGTACTAATACAATATATTTTCATAAAATATTATTTCTACAATCGAGATTTTAAAACATAATTTTTATAAAACACATATTTTTGTGGCTACAAGAATCAAAACAGGATAAAATTTCATAAGGTATTAATAGTTTTATTACCTTTAAATTAGATGATAAAATGCTGATATATAATGTTTTCTATTACCTATACAACTAAAATTATTTGCAATTCACTTATAGATTCATCTATAAATTTTGTTCTAAAATAGAGAAATTCTATTACCAAAGTATATAAATGATAAAAGCACAGAAAAATCGAGATCTTACAGTGACAACACAAGCATTACTAAATTACAATTGAAACTTCATAATATGTTTGAGTAAGAAGAATAAAAGCAAATTAATAAAGACAAAACTAAGAGTTTAATAAAGTATATTCCATTATCATATACTTGATTGGCTTGATTCACCTTTCAAATTCTTTGTATTTCACTCTAATTTACATTTCTTTAGATTGCGTT